ACATGCTCCAAGCGTATTTGGCCTTTTAAGCGCTAACAGCCTTATCCACGCCAAGATTAGATCCATTCCACCCTCCATGAACCTAAAACGCCTACCGATTTCAAACGCTAGAAAGAAGCAACAAAAAAGAGACTGCTCAATCCAAAAGCCCATCAGAGTATTCATGCACTCCTAATGTAATCAAGAACATCCTTCCCGGAAAAGCGGAATGCTCGCTGAACCTGACCTTGAACGCTTCCCGGAGTCTTCTCAATAAACTGGAGACACGAAGAGCGACCCGTAATCCTCGCTAGGGAACCGGCGCGCCGGTCTGCATGTAAATCTGCTTATGTATATCGATTGCAGAGGATAACTCGGTCATGTCCCAACTACAATCTCTAGAAACGTTCAAGGTTCAGTAGAATTCCCCTGCGATTCTGACAAAGAGACGTAATGTCAATGGCCTTACATGAGACCATAGTTTTGTTTGATACAACATTGGAATCTCGGGTTGTTCTGCAAGTAAATCTGCTTATGTATCGATTGCAGAGGATAACTCCTTTGTCGCTGGGTCATGTTTCAGCTACAATCTCATGGAAGCGTTCAAGGATTAGTCGAGTTCCCCTCTGATTGTTACAAAGAGACGTGATGTTCATCCCATTACCCTACGTGAGGCCACAGTTTTGCTTGATACAACATTGAATTCTCCGGTTGTTCTGAATGTAAATCTACTTATGTATGGATTGGAAGGGGTTAACTCCTTTGCCAACTACAATCTCGCAGAGACGTTCAAGGATTAGTTAGATTCACAAGAGACGGGATGTCCATGACCGCATTTGAGGCCCCAGTTTTGATACAGCACTGAATTATCTGATTGTGTAAGTGGGTTGCCTCCTAACTACAATCTCATAGAAACGTTCAAGGATTGGTAGAATTCCCCACTGATTCCAGGACGTGATGTCCATGACCGTATTTGAGGCCACAGTTTTGATACAGCCTAACTGAATTATCTGATTGTTCTCGGCCATGTCCCAGCTTCAATCTCATAGAAACGTTAAAGGATTAGTAGAATTCCCCTGCGACTATAGTTAAAGGACGTGACAGTACGTAAGGCCACAGCTTCAATACAAGATTCTACGATTGTTCCTTGACGTATCCCAACTATAATCTGATAGACAACGGTTCAAGGATTAGCAGAATTCCCTTGTGATTCTAGGACATGATACAATACCGCATTCTACAATTGCTCTTGGTCGTATGCCAACTTCAATCTCATAGAAACGCTCAAGGATAAGTAGAATTCCCCTGCGATTCTGACGAAGAGACGTGATGTCCATGACGGTACGTGAGGCCAGAGTCTAAATACAACACGGCCCTTTGGTTGTTCTTAGTCATATCCTAACTACAATATTCTGCAACTATTGAAAGATTCCTACAGTTCACCTGTGATTTTGCCGGAGAGACCAGGGACCTGATATAAATATCCATATTTGAAGCCAACATTATCTCTGATTGTGCTTTGTCATATCCCAACTTCAACCTCCTGAAGCTATTTAAGGATTTAGAGAGTCCATGTGTAATTTTCCCAAAGACCAAAGACGTGATATCCATGATTATATTTGAGGCCACAGTCCTAATACAACGCAACATGTTCATTGTGCTTGCTTATATAGCAACTACAATCTTCTGCAACTATTTAAGGATTCAGAGAGTTCACCTGTGATTTAACCAGAGAGACCAGAGACGCGATATAAATAGCCATATTTGAAGCCAAAGTCCAATACCATCTCTGATTGTGCTTAGTCATATCCCAACTCAATCCCATGCAACTATTCAAGGATTCAGAGAGTTCACCTGTAATTTAGCCAGAAATACCAGGGACGTGATATCCATGACCATATTTGAGGCCACAGTCTCACTGTAAGACCGCTGCCTATGGTTCTGTAAACCCCCTTATATTCGAAGCCAAAGTCCTAATGCAACACAACTTTCTGATTGTGCTGGCAATTGGTCATATTCCAACTACAATCTCTTGAAACTATTTAAGGATTCAGACAGTTTACCTATAATTTTGCTTGAAAGACCAAAGATGTGATATAAATAGCCATATCTGAAGCCACAGTCCAATACCATTTCTGATTGTGCTTTGTCATATCCCAACTACAATCTCGTGAAAATATTCAAGGATTCAGAGAGTTCACCTGTGATTTTGCTTGAAAGACCAGGGACGTGATATCCATATTTGAGGCCACAGTCTCACTATAAGACCGCTGCCTATGGTTCTGTAAACCCCCTTATATTCGAAGCCAAAGTCCTAATGCAACACAACTTTCTGATTGTGCTGGCAATTGGTCATATTCCAACTACAATCTCTTGAAACTATTTAAGGATTCAGACAGTTTACCTATAATTTTGCTTGAAAGACCAAAGATGTGATATAAATAGCCATATCTGAAGCCACAGTCCAATACCATTTCTGATTGTGCTTTGTCATATCCCAACTACAATCTCGTGAAAATATTCAAGGATTCAGAGAGTTCACCTGTGATTTTGCTTGAAAGACCAGGGACGTGATATCCATATTTGAGGCCACAGTCTCACTATAAGACCGCTGCCTATGGTTCTGTAAACCCCCTTATATTCGAAGCCAAAGTCCTAATGCAACACAACTTTCTGATTGTGCTGGCAATTGCTCATATTCCAACTACAATCTCTTGAAGCTATCTTTAAGGATTCAGAGAGTTCACCTGTGATTTTTCCAAAGACCAGAGACGTGATATCCATGACCATATTTGAGGCCACGGTCTCACTATAAGACCGCTGCCTATGGTTCCGTAAACCCCCGTTAAAAGGGTAGGCCTAGTGAAAGATGAGGCCAGTTTATTGCCTTGTCGAAAGCTGCCGTGCGGGGATTGGTTAATATTTCACGCCTGACTGGCAGCATCTGTGCCGCCTCGCTTTTATGAAAGTGATGGATTCATCCAAAGCGATGGAAATTAGGCCACAGCAAGTAAATTTTATGGATGACATCAGCGCGCGCACTAATTTCCGCCTGATTTTGGAAAAAAATGTTGCCTTCTGACAGTGGTCAACATGCCGAAAATGGGCAAAGATGTCTGTTGCCATGCCGGAAGGTGGGTGGCAGATAACTATGAAGAGAGGAGGCAAGAAAAGGCTCAGATTTAATGTTTTGTTTCTTACATTGTTTCTTGCAGTGATATGTTATGCTGGCTGTGTACATGTGATGCTTCTACTGAATCAAAACCGTTGTACAATGATTGAGTCAAAAATTTTGAATTGTAGAAACCTTTTTTTTTCGGCCCGCCTTGTTTTTTTCGCCCGCTTACATTAGATTTGGAATCTGTGGAAGATGTCATCCATGAAATTTACTTGTTGTGGCCTTATGCAGGATGTCAGCCGCTCTCTATATCACAGAAAGGATTGGAGCGAACGCCCCTTTGAAATTTGCAGGATAATTTGTGAGCGCGTCTGCTGCAAGAAGTTATGTGGACGGTGGGGAATTCATTACCGCATTTTACCGAGCTTGAAAAACGTTTATATCGCGTTTTATTGTTCAGCCTTGAACTGTCGTTCGTTATAATATATTATCATATAGCCGCGTGACGTTGACCAATCAGAAGGCTCCATTCCACATTCTTTATGTCGCCGTAATGTCACAAATAGAGTCAAAATCGGGTATTTATTCATCCCAATCCATACATTAAACAAAATGAATAATCACCCGCATATGACCTCAGGTGACCCAATTGAACATGGCTCTACTTCTAAAAAATCCAAAAATAACTTGAGTTGTGTTCCAATGACTCCCATAAGAACACCTGTTCCCTGCCTGTGACCCAGATAGAAGACATAGAACATGAACCCCCCAGTGACCTCAGGTGACTCCAGACGGAACAAACATTCTATGTTCTATTCAGCATGTGCAAGGGTACATTGTGTCACTCTTCACTGCATCAGTTTGGATAGGCTATCGTGTAAGCTATATGATAATAGCGTTAATGGCCCGCCCTTTCTCGGTGAATATGGTGTGATAAAGCCTTGTCAGTTGCTATAACCACCTCATAAAGCCACCTCGTTCGCTGCGCTCACTTGGTGGCTTTATTCCGTGGTTATAGCAACTGACAAGGCTTTATCACACCATATTCACCTCGGGGCGGGACATTAACCCTTAAATATAGCACACACGTACACCTAATACTACTTCTCATTCCATTTGAGTACACATATTAATCAACGTATACGTACTTCAAATATTAAGATACATTGTAACGAGTTTTATTCAAATCGTCAGTAGCAACTAGTTTTAAAATGATGAGGCTGGTCTTTTAGAGTACCTAAAGTGGCCACGCCAGTGACAGATAAAGTCAAATGTTCTGCTAAACATTGTAAATAGTAATGGTAATAGTTTTGCGCACAACATTTAAGATTCAATGTTCGAGGACATCTATAGCAATAACTTCAAACATGACAAAGCGTTCTAAAATTCCATTTCACATTCGCATGTTTCAGACGGTCTCCCTGTGGATTCTGTCAAATGCCTTTTTGAAGTCGACAAAATTCGGTGATAATTGCATTTGCTGTACCAGACATTGATCAATGATGTTTGGAAGAGTGAATATCTATTCTCGACAAGAGCGACTACCGGCGTGTTCTTCTAACACCGCAGACATGTATATACTGTATCTACTACAACCATCCACAGTAAAAGCCCATTACTGACATCCTGAAATCGACAAAATCCATGATCAATGCTAATTGTGTTTGCTGTTTCAGACATTGATCGATGAGGTTACTACGAAATTCAGCTTCTTGTTCCTCTCTCAAAATAATCTCTTTAATCCTTCAAGAGCTAGCGCTGTACGCGTGAAACACTCAAGACTACACGATCTATATATAGCCTCCTTCATTCAATATCTACATGATCTACAACTGGACAATATACCCATAATGATCCTAATCATTGAGGTGTTTCTTTTTCGTTTGTTGTTGTCATATTTCAGGTGAGCTACTGGTCCACGAGTCCAGACCTCAGTAACAAGGACCGGTTTGACTACTTTTTCCGCACCGTGGCCTCGGATGTCTACCAGGCCAGAGCCATGGTGGAGATCCTGAAAGCCTTCAACTGGACCTACATCTCTGCCGTGTACGAGGACTCTAACTATGGTATTTATTTATTTATTTATTTATTTATTTCATCTTAAACATCTGGGTGGCCCTCTTCAACAGTAAATTGTTGATTTCCAAGAGGGCCCAGGGACACATAAACATAAAACAATGAGGGCCCAAGGACACATAAACATAAAACAATTCGTATAAAAGTAAATTATACAATCAAGTAACATAACTGAGAAATGTTAAGTACAACTGAGAGTCAAATTAAACAAATGATACAATATGCATAAATGACTGAACAGAAATATACAAACCAAAATGTCAAAATCATTATCGTGATCCATAATCGTGTCCAAATTATGTTCCATGATCAAAATCACTGGAGGTCAGAGGTCTGTTTAACAGCTGCCTTGAAGAGTTTTAGAGTTGAGATCTGTCTTTTGTCTCAGGCATCAAGGGCATCTCTGCCGTCGAAGACCTGGCAAGGGCTTCTGGGATATGTATCGCAGTCTCGCTCATGGTCTCGCGAGAGGCCGGTGACACGCGAGAGGAGGAGTTTAACAAGATACTGCAGGAGCTGCTCGATAAGCCGAAGGCAAAAGGTGGGCTGAGCTGTCATTTATATGTCTAGAAAACAACTTATATATAATTGAGTGCAAGATACCGATCCTCTTTTCACCGTGGAAGGTTAGACATCTAGGTAATAAGCTGGTGTGTTATGCCGAAGGGCGTTTATACCGGCTATACCGATACAGATACAGAAGATATGCCAAAAGAACAGTTACTCAAGCAATATATCATTTTGGATACGGTAAGACGTTTCATGTAGTGTCACTGACGAAATGTAGCCGTTGCTACCTGAAACGTCTAACCGTTTCCAAAATCATAGGGAGTTGCTTGAGTAACAGTTCTGTTTGGCGTAGGCTGCCATTCATATGTCGAAAGAACGACTTGAGTACAAGATAAGAATCCTCTTTTCATTTAGAGCATTAGTGGCTGTCAGTTAGTGTAACTTCTTCAACCCAGTTCTCGACAGCATGGCGCCTTTGACGTATAGTCTCGTATATACCGATAAAGAACTCTTAGCCTGTAATACAACAGCTACAGATACAACATGTATCACAAAAGATCGAGATTCTGAATGGTTTGGTGTATAGGTCAATGCCATTGTCAATGTCTTGAAAAAGTGGTATGTCGATAAGAATCCACTTTTCATTAAGAGCATTAGTGTCTGTCAGTTTGTGGAAGTTCTTACACAATGACGCCTTTGACGTAACCTCGTATATACAGATAAAGAACTCTAAGCTGGTAATACAAAAGATGCAGATGCAGATGCATCATTTATAAAAAAAGATCGCTATTCTGAATGACGCCATAGTCAATTGCTATGACATGTTTGGACATCATAGAACCACGTTAAAAACAATTTTTAAAATAAAATGCTTCTAATAACCCGTAATATTTACTTCTACATCAACAGCTGTGATTGTCTACCTTGTCGAGAGGGACGCCAAGAGCTTCTTCGCCGCCGTCAGCCGCTTCAACGCGTCGGGAAAGTTCATCTGGATCGGCAGCGACGGCTGGGGCGGGCGGCAGATCCCAGTTGCAAAACAGGAGTGGGCGGTAGAGGGCGCTATTACCGTCCAGCCGCGAGCGCGCGTCATCTCCAAGTTCGACGAGTACTTCACCAGCCTGAAACCCGACACCAACGTCCGAAACCCGTGGTTTAAGGAGGCCTGGGAGTCGCACTTCGAGTGCAGGATACCCGGGACTGCCGACACCCCATTTAACGACTTCGCGACCACGTGTTCGGACGACATGGTGCTGGACGAGACATCCGGGTACCAACAGAACTCTCTGCTCCAATTGGTCGCCGAGAGCGCGCTGGCGTTCGCGCATGCGCTGAAGGACATGCATGCGGACTACTGCGGTGACGAGCCGGGTCTGTGCAGCAACATGACGCTGATATCAGGCGAGAGGCTCAAAGACTATCTACTTAACGTCTCGTTTGAAGGTGAGTCGTCTTGTCTAAAACTGAAAGGTTGTCGCAGCTCTACCTTTAGTTACCTCTTACCTAGACCCATCCTGCCGTAACCATAACTCCAAAAAGGGGTATGTTTCTATCAAATTCAAGAATGAAAGAGAGAAATCTGTACGACTACCCACTCAACGTCTCGTTTGAAGGTGAGCCTTCTGTCTAAAACTGGATCATTGAGATTACCGTAACTATCACTCCGAGAAAAGGGCTATGTTCCTATAATAGTTTAAGAATAATAGTAAGAAAGCGGGGTTATTGGCGTAACGGCAGCGCATTCGGCTCAGAACCAAGAGGCTCCGGGTTCGAATCCTGCACTTGGGAAAGGCACACGATTTTCTTCACTTCGCTCAAGTGAAAATCGAGTATGCCAGAATGATCGTCATCATGGGCATTAAAGAAGAACCAAACACTATCAATATCTAATTAGATTTAGAACCCACTAAAACATTACGATATAATAGTCTATATACGAAACGAAAATCATATTTCTTTTTTATCTTTGTTTTCCCTGAAGGTCATGACCGTCAGGAGTTCCATTTCCAGCCGAACGGTGACGGCCCTCCCCGCTACACCATCATGAACTTCCAGCGGGACCAGAACGACAGGTAGGACACGGAACCAAACTGTGTTTTTGCTCGGTGTAAAGCCACAAGGGCCACTCATGGGCACTGATCCAACGCTCACTGCAGCAGCATCTCTGAAACGAAGAGAGGCTATAGTTATTCAGATTTTGACCGTAAACATGTCAGATTTTACTACAAGATCTCTGAACTGTATCGTGTGTTTTAAGTTCAATGTCAGGTGCAGAACATTTTAAAATTGCTTTACGATGTAAGAACAGTCTACAATTCTACAATGTCTACAATGAAACGTATGAAAAAAACAGTGTACTACTACTATTACTACTAATACTACTACTACTATTACTACTACTACAGTAACTATTACTACTCTTAGGTACTCCTGGAAACGTGTCGGTTACCTCGACGAGGAGATCTTCAAACTGGAGATGAAGGAGATCCACTTCAGACGACAGCCGGCCGGTTACCAAGGTAACGGTTACCAAGGTTACCCGGTGTCCATGTGCAGCGCGCCGTGTCCCCCTGGCCACGAGAAGAAGATTTCGGCCCGCGACAGCTGTTGCTGGTCGTGTAACCCCTGTTCAGAGTTCCAGTATCTCTCCAAAGAGGACTTCTGCACCGAATGCCCGCTTGGACAAAAACCTGACAAGGGAAAGACAACCTGCGTGTCCATACCTGAAGACTATCTCACCTACAGCAGCGCGTACGCTATAGCCATCACCACGTTCGCCATTTTCGGTATCATCTGTACTCTTGTTGTGGCTGCAATTTTTATGAAGTACGGAGAGACTCCCGTGGTGAAGGCGTCCGGTAGGGAGCTGTGCTACGTGCTGCTGGTTGGGATATTCTGTTCACACGCTATAACGTTTGTCCTAGTGGCGAAACCGACCACACTGACGTGCGGGATGACCAAAGTGTCCGTCGGCGTGTGCTACGCGCTCTGCTACGCCGCCCTTCTCACCAAGACCAACAGAATATACCGCATTTTCCACAACAAGGGCAAGAAGAAGCAGAAGTACATCAGCCCAAACTCCCAGCTCTTCATAACATTCATGTTCGTGCTTGTCGAGGTTGTGGTTGTCGTCGCGTGGTTGATCGTGAGCCCACCGGGTACCACATACTTCTACCCAAGCCGTGATCAGAACCAACTGGTCTGCAAGGGCGCCAACGATGCTTCTTACACCATAGGCCTGGCATATCCCTTCTTGCTAATGATCCTCTGCACGGTATACGCCATCAAGACCAGGAACGTTCCGGGCGGCTTCAACGAAGCCAAGCTGATCGGCTTCACCATGTACACCACGTGCGTGATCTGGCTGGCCTTCGTGCCGATTTACTTCGTCAGCGCCAGTAACGTAGCGATCCGCGTGACGGCGCTGAGTGTCTCCATCGGGCTGAGCGGCACGGTGACGCTGGTGTGCCTGTTCGCGCCCAGGGTCTACATCATCCTCTTCCACCCCGAGGAGAACACCAGACACGGCGTCATGAGAAACACATTCAGATCCAAAATAGAGAACGGAGGTAAGCGTATTAGGAGTTGCATAATTAGCACAAAGCTTAATCTGTGTTGAACCTTGAACAGGGACATCAATCTGTCCCGTTCAAGGTTCATTGGTTGATCGATAACATTACGAAGGAGTTGGAGTCACCAAATTTCCGTTCTCTGGTAAATGAAGACCCGATTGCCCAGAGGTGTGACATAGGCAAAAGGTCAAAATGGTCAGAAGTCGGTACCGGCTTCCGTCTTTGTTTAAGGAAATTTTACTCTTTGAGGTTAGATTCATACAGTACTCTTAATTGTAAAAGGAGTTGTCACAGTGCCAAGAGACTTAGCTTTACTTACTTAAAGCATGTGTAGTGTACAACAGCTTTGGCAGTCTTCTTATCCTATCTGTAAAGGTTTCCAGCTATCACAAATGTAGTGAAATGACATTCATGGCTAACGACTTTGCTGTCTGTTTTCCTCAGCGTTTTCCGTGGCCGCAGACCCCCCGTCCACGTACCAGCCCTGCGGCACCAAACCTTCAGCAACCATCAGCGAGAACATCGATATCCAGGTGGACGTCATCAGCAAAAATAACCAACAGCTGAAACTGCCCGATACCAGCCCGCCGGCTGAAACACGCGCCTAACAGAAGCCCAAGATCATCAGGCAAAATGTACCCGCCCCTGGGGCGTCGCCAAAAATAGCCATCCTATCATTCTATTGGGCCATTATAATAACACCTCATATGAGATTGCCATGTTCTCATTTCGTTTAGAAGGAAAAAGGATAATTATCAAATATTCCTAAAATGAAGAAAAACTTTGAACTTTTGACTCTAGCCACTAACACTGCCGCGATACTTTTTGTAAATTACAAGAGGAAGTTAAACATTTGTTTGAGCTATTTTTCAACTAAAAACATCTTTGATAACACTTTTAGGAGGAAATTATATAATTGTATCCAATACATTGTTGTGCCATAAGACAAAATTACAAATTTCTAAAATGATATTTGATAGATTATTTTGCGAATGATGGTAGCGATTATGAACCATTTTCAACATCAAATCATTGCTCTTGACACAAAAAATTCAAGACTACTTTTTTTCTATACCAAGTCTTCATTGAGTCGTACATCTACCTGTTGGCAGCTGTAAAGATATAGATTTTGTAGGTTATGGAAATAATGCTACCTGGGTGTGAAGAAAATATTGTTGCAAGTACGTTTAACGTTGTTGATAGTGTAGTGATTTCACTATGTCATGTAATGGTTATATTGCTGTTGTCGGTTTAGTAGAATTCTGGTATGTAAAAATGCTTGCCTAAATATATACGAAGTTTGCTTACACTTTGGGTAGAGAGCGTATTTGGGTAGTTTCAACATAAAATTTTATCGATTTTTATTAGACTCATCTATTTTCTGATACAAGTTTGTATTTTGTGAGTTAATTTGATAGGAACTTTTCATAGGATCCATTCGTATGCTATAAGCAAAAGTGGTGCGTATTTAGTATACTATATTTCTATATTACTTAGCAAAAGTTGTAATAAGCCAATTCCTGTTTTGAACTGCGTATGTGCGAGGTCAAAGTCGAGGGCACATAACTTGTAAACAGTTTTTGTACAGATCATGCTTGAGTTTTTCGTTTTGTGTCTCGGCGACCTATTACCCAAAGTGCACGCGCAAAGCAAAACTGTGAACCAGCTTATAGTTTAGTCCTTCCCTGTTGTCTCTAAAGGCGTTAGAACGTCATGTCTCCAGGATCCCTACGAGAAATCTCCACCTGGTTTCTCCTTAATGTTTGTAAAAAAATGATTTTCATGTTAACTATAGTGAGGTTATTTGGTGTGGTTAACTGGCTATGGTAAGGATACATCTGTTTTACATGTTTGCCCAAAAACATGTAAAAAATATGTAGAAAATCCTGTTTTGTAAAAAAAAGTCATCCTTACTACGAACCTCACTAGAAATCTCCACCTGGTTTCTCGTTAATGTTTGTAAAAAATGATTTTCATGTTAACTATAGTGAGGTTATTCAGTGTGGTTTATTGGCTATGGTAAGGATACATCTGTTTTGTGGACATGTAAAAACATGTAGAAAATACATGGAATTCTGATGTGAAAAAAAAAATGCATCCTTGCTACGTACCTCACTAGAAAACATGGGGCACGTAGAGACTTTTATCAACCGTGTAACGTAATGTTGATTCTGTCCACGACTTTATCTGATGTTTTAGAAAATCCCATGTGTAAGATATAAGAGGCGTTGATTCGTGGACTGAGTCTGTTGTAACAACACCAGAACATCAGAAACCGTTTTCTGTATTACTGTTGTTTTTGTAAATGTAAAACTCTGTTGTACACATTTCCTTGTACAGTAACTGAATCTGAACATTGATAAATGATTGATATTCTTGTAAAAAAAATCCCAATCCACCCAGTGTGCCCTGTACAACGAAAAAGTGTTTCGGTAGAGTACTAAGCTTGTTCCGGGTCTTCCCGTCAAGTTCTTGTAAAGTGTTCGGCAAAAAAATAAGTGTATCTTCTGATGCTGTCCTTTGTAGCGCTTACATGCGGTACATCGATTTTTTTTGTGATACAAACTTTCACTCATGTCAAGTTTGGATACCACTAATTCAATCTTACCATTTCTTCTCTGTATTTGTACATGACTTGTTTCATTTGTAAAGAGGGAATATCATTGACACACAATCAGCAAATAGACTGTCTAGGGAAGGAGCACGTTATAATGATGGCTAGAACAACGGAAGGAAAATTGACTATCTCAGGTTAAGGTTATTGAAAGATATACCAGTATAGAATCATTCGAAGGCATCTACGTTTGAATAATACTGCATGAAGATTATTACTCTACTTTAAACCATCAAATATTACATGTACTGACTCAGTTTAGATGTTAGAAGTATAACGATTTTTGTTATTGTATAATATCTCCTAATAGATGTCGAGGTTTATTTGTATGATTGGTAATTCTATACGCTGAGTAGTGTGCATTTATGATAAACGTTGTAAACGTTGTCATTCCTGAATAAGAAATGTTCATATGTGGGTAAGCTTACCACTGCTGCATGTACAGTCAATCCGTAACAAGTGTCAACGCTGTAAAAAATAACGATGGCATCCAAAAGTAACTAAGAGTTGTAAAATCTGTACATTGTTGGTTACCTTTCTAGTGTAAATGTACATCAGTTATTGGTCGTGAGCTCCCATGTTCTCGGTAGCCAGCTAGTAATGTATATTTTTCAGATCGACAGAGGATATTTTGTGTATGACGCGTACCGTGCCATCTTGCTATTCGACATTGAATGTAAGAAAATAAATAAAGACATTGAAGATGTCATTGATCTGGACTGGAATGATTTTACTGCGTTACAGAATACTCATGACTTTCTCTTAGCCTCTATCTAGTAGATGTGGTAAATTGTTGCACAGTCTTAGAAAATATTTGAATGCAATCACCATAAATGCTGATATTGGCTATTGCCAAGCAATCATCAACGAATTCCTTGTTTCAGACAGTCACATACTGACATCTAGCGGTTAATTGTAGCATTGCAGCTTTTTGGGTCTCGTTTGCGGTGCGGTAACATAAAGGATTGATAGGATACGCCGTTGCCATGGCGGACACGCCCACGTGAACCACTCTGACAGACGGGAGGGGGTTCGGGCGGCCCGCTGGTTTGGGGGCTGTCGGGGCCGGAGAAAGGCGACCGGACAGGCTCTGCCTGCTCGTACATTTTGGCCGTACTGTGCAGACTGTATTGTTGCGCAGTGTATAACTGTGCAAAATTCATGAATATGGCAACTAACACCTTAATTAGTCTGACTACAGTAAGGCTACATTTGCCCGTATTTGGAAGAATGACGTGGGATGAGGTGATGCAATAGCATTTTGTGTTTATGCAAGAGCCAGACTCATTTTCGTGGAAAACCAAGTAATCTGAGCTGGTAGGCAGAAACATCAAACAACCCTATTCAAACATAAGAGAGAATTCTTATGGTAATCGGTAAAATCTCGTGACTTTTACAGACATGTGCGCATGCACCAACGTTGTCATGCATACATGTAGCAGACATGCCCAAGCCTCCCTCCCCACTTTGGTTGCCGATAAAATAATAGATATTCTTTACACTGAATGACAGTGGCAGCAATACTCATGTTTTATGTTTTCTTCCTTTTGAATACCACTTTTAAGATGAAATAGAAGGATTTATATGTTAGACATGTCCGTTCTACCTCTATCTGCATGTCATACTTTCACCCCAGGTGATATTCTATTTATTACAACACAAGATTGGTAATAAGAATTGTTGCCATGGCGAAGGTTTCTTGTTTGATGTTTATTCACGTTTTTAGTCTCGTGCATTACAAAACATCTTATGGATATAGTTTGCCCACGAAAAGACATCTACAGGTGTCCATTGTTTTTTTATTTATTATTATATTATATTATATTATATTATATATTTTTGACAATTTATTTTCGTGGAAAAAGAAATTAATCTGGGCTGGTAGGTAGAAACATTAAAAAAATCTATTCAAACATAAGAGAGAATTATTATTGTATGAGATGATGCAATAGCATTTTGTTTGTTTTTTTAAGAGCCAGACTTATTTTCGTGGAAAAAGAAGAAATCGGGGCTTTTATGCAAAAACATCAAACAACTCTATTCAAACATAAGAGAGAATTCTTCTTGTAATCGGTAAAATCTCGTGACTTCTACAGACATGTGCGCATGCACTAACGTTGTCATGCATACATGTAGCAGACATGCCCAAGCCCCCCTCCCCACTTCTTTGGTTGCCGACAAAATAGTAGATATTCTTTACACTAGATGACAGTGGCAGCAATACTCATGTTTTTTGTTTTCCTTTTGAATAGCATTTTAAGTGAAATACAGGGGTTTATAGCTTAGACATGTCCGCTCTACCTCTATCTGCATGTCATACTTTCACCCCAGGTGATATTCTATTCCTTACAACACAAGATTGGAAATAAGAATTGTTGCCATGGCAAAGGTTTCTTGTTTGATGTTTATTCACGTTTTTAGTCTCGTGCGTTACAAAACATCTTATGGATATAGTTTGCCCACGAAAAGACATCTACAGGTGTCCATTGTTAACAATTTATTGTCGTGGAAAAAGAAATTATTCTGGGCTGGTAGGTAGAAACATCAAACAAATCTATTCAAACATAAGAGAGAATTATTATTGTATGAGATGATGCAATAGCATTTTGTTTTCTGCAAGAGCCAGACTCATTTTCGTGGAAAAAGAAGTAATCTGAGCTGGTAGGCAGAAACATCAAACAAAGCTATTCAAACATACGAGAGAATTCTTATTGTAATCGGTAAAATCTCGTGACTTTTACAGACATGTGCGCATCCACTATCGTTGTCATGCATACATGTAGCAGACATGCCCAAGCCCCCCTCCCCACTTCTTTGGTTGAAGAAAAAATAGTAGATATAGTTGACACTAGATGACAGTGGCAGCGATACTCATGTTTTATGTTTTCTTCCCTTTGAATAGCATTTTTAATTGAAATAGATGGGTTTATACCTAAGACATGTCCGTTCTATCTCTATCTGCATGTCATACTTTCACCTCAGGTAATATTCTAT